CAGCCACGGGTGACAGAGAACTTGCAGTGCGGCAGTGTCACTCAAGAATCACATTTCCATCTTCCCAGGGCCCTACCGAGCAGAGACGGCTGGCATGGTCTATTCCTTCTTGTGAGCGGCACCTGCCTAGTGGCCCTGGAGTTAACAATTTATATCAAGAAGTAAAGAACGATGGCCTTGCGATCAGTGACCTTTTCCTGGTAAGAAAGGAAGGGCAGGTAAAGGTGCTTCCCTGTTCAACTCACCTGTAGCCTGGCCTGTACCTCTGCCAAAGCGGTGCACCTAACAGCCATGCTCAGGACACAGCACTGACCACAGACAGAGGTCCCATGTGCCCAGCACAGGCTGAGATCCGAGGGCCCCTCGTCCAGTGCTCCACACCTTCAAAGGACCAGCCTGCAGTTCCCGTCTCCAACACCTGCAGCACGCTCTCGTGACACACTCGCTAAGCAGAGGAGTGGCCTTCCTCTCTCCACTGCAGCTCCTGCACCTTAGAGAAGCAGCAAGGTTGATGCCGGCCACCTGGGTTAAGCAGGGCCCTGGGATCACGCTGATGCCCAGGTCCATGCCGCAGTGCTGAGGAAGTATTTAGAGTGACTCCTGGCTAAATGAGACGACCCATCAGCAGGGACAAGGAGGGAAAGTGCAACTACTGCAGGCCGGGTGCAGCCGAGTGGGACCTGGGGCAGGGGCTCACAGCTGCAACCCCCACTCCACGCCCTACTGCACTTTATAAGAACAGGAGTTCAAGTGTTCACTCTATCACCCTTAACACAAGGATTTTCATTTCTTCCTTTGTAAGTAAAAGGCCTTCAAAAGAAAATAATTAATGTTCAGAGGATAAACACAAAGAAAACCTCTGAGGAAGTGGATTACAAATTAGCAAACAAGGAACTGAGGAAGAGACGCGCTGCGTGTCATGGAGTCAGCAGTGGTGTGGAGTGGGAACGGTTAGGAGTCTCCCGAGGGCTCTGTGGGTGTGAGAGTCACGCGCTGCTCTGCGCCACGTGCCGCTCTGGGCCCTGTGCTCGGGACCACAGCTCCGACTTCCCAGGGTCACAGGAACCTTCAATGTGCCCATCTGTCTCTGAACTCACCTTCAGAGGGGTAAAAAGCTCTTGGCACCCAAAACATCGTGATGCTGAGCCTGTGACACGGCCACGCATCACTGGGGAGTCCTCTGTTAGAACCAAGAACACTTCTTTGCCGCAGATTAGAGACAAGCACAGTCAGGGTCAGCACCGTGCTCTCTGCGGGTGCAGACCTCCTTACTGACTCACACGATGCCATTACCCTTTCACTCTCACGCTGCAGCAGCAGCCCAAGTGTGTCCTTCAAAACTTGCTCCAACCAGCACCGCTGGAGCAGGACGGGCTCCCGAACTGCTTTCTGCGCTGCAGGTAAAAGCAGACCCTGCCACGGAGCTGTGTAGACAGCTGGACGTGTTCAGGATGCAGAGTGAGGAAAAGCTCTAGTGACCATCCCGAGTGACGCTCCACTCCAAGAATCCTGTTCCCTTTACCCGGCCTTAACACGCGTTCACTGTGCAGGCATTCTCCTTACCGTGCCCCTGCTCTCTGTGTCATGCCTCCTTGAGTTCCAAGTCCCTGTATTAATTCTTAGCCATCCCCCACAGGCCACTGCGTGCTCCCCTCAGCCAGCTGATCCTAAGCCCGCTAAGCTGCCAGGTCCCCCACCTCTGACCTCTGAGGGTTCCTCACGATTTCTACTGTGAAATAGCTGTCTTTCAGCAGCACACGCACTTTATCTATCTCCCCAGGTGGCAGACGAATAGGTGTTGCTTGTGCAGCTAGCACAGGCACAGGTCTTGTCTCGAGGTACTTCCTACCTTTTGAATGACTTCCTGCTCTCCAACATGTTTACTGAAGGCTGAGCAGTGGGCACGGTACTTTACTACTGTATAAAAGACACACAGACGTGCGTGCATGCACACACACCCATAACAGCTCCTCAGTGGCCTCAGAGCAAAGCCTAGGAACCTTCCTGTGGGTCACAAAGCCCTTGGGTCAGGTCCCAGCACATCTCTCCTCTGGCTACTTTCTCTCCCGCCAGCCCAGGGGCGGTGGTCTTCCCAGTGTCCCCACCGTTGGGACAGCCCCACCTCGCTCCAATGTGTTTCCCAGTCATCCTCGTCCTGCGTGTCTGCTTGAAAGTATTCATCACCACACTGTAGCTGCTGGTTTGATTTACTGCCTATTTTCCTACTAACTTAGTGCTCTATGAAGGTAAAACAAAACAAAACAAAAAAACCCCCTCAACCTATTTAGGATTATGCCGCAGTATTCAATACATATTTCTGATAATATAAACGAGTAAATTTAGAAAATAAGGGAGTAACTCTTGGAGCACACTGACTTATATAATATATACAAGAGGAGATACACTGTTCTCCCACAGCTACCTTCAGAGGAGTCTACATCTACGCTGGCTGCAGAGGCATGGAGGTCCAGGCGGAATCTGGAGCCAGCCTGAGATCTTGGTCACCCAGCCTGGAGCTTGAAGGGGTCTCCGTGTACAAAGAGCTGCTGACTCTGGGCAACAGCTGAGGAGGTACGTGGGACAAGCCGCTCAGGTGCCCAGCACAGGCTGAGATCTGAGGGCCCCTCACCCAGTCCTCCACACCTTCAAAGGACCAGCCTGCAGCTCCCGTCTCCAACACCTGGCAGCACGCTCTCGTGACACACTCGCTAATTCCACACAAGCCTAACTCCAGAAAAACTTCTAGTCATCATATAGTTAGGAGAGAGAGAAGCCCATTACCAGATTAAGTTCAGAACTTTCTCCAAAGATGGCTAAGGCAAATAAAAAGCTAAGAAACAGAAGCTGCTCCCGGGTCATTTCAATGTAGAAATCACAGGACTCCCAGCAGTTACACAAATTATACAGATGGATGCAGCCTTATTCCAGATGAATCAGAGAGATTTAAAGGAAGGGGAAAGTTCAGAAAGGAGTTGCCATGCTGGACGTGGTGGCGCACACCTGTAATCCCAGCACTAGGGAGGATGAGGCAGGAGGATCATTGCGAGTTTGAGACCAGCCTGGGCTACAAAGTAAGCCCAAGGCCAGCCTGAATTGCACAGTGACACCCTGTCTCAAAAAGACAAAAAAAAAAAGAGAGTTGCTAGGATAGTTTGGAGAACAGTTCAGAGTCTGAGGACTGGGATGACAGCGCGACCTGTGGAGTCCCCATGGATGACATTATGCTTCCTAATTCAGAGGGCAGAAAAGGCAAGATCAAAGTTTTAGACAGTCCAGGAACGAAAACCAAGGCATAGTGAAATACATGATCTAGAAAGAAACAGGTGATCCATACCTGCTAACTCTGAAAAAGAAAGCAGTTCTGAGTATTTTGTATTTCTGGTACCTATGGTGCTCTTACATGCTAAAAGAAAAAACTTTAGACAAATCTAACAGTTTGAGCAAAGAACAATTCATGAATTGGGCAGCACTCAAAATGGAAAGGATCTCAGAGAGCTCCGCTGTGTACTGAGGACAGCAGGCTTTCATGGCTGAACATGAAAATAAAGTACAGAAATAACTTGATTCGTTACGGGGAGGCTTTGACATGTCTGGACAGAGTTTTATCCACGGCGGGCCTGGGACTGGCTGGGGCTCAGCTGTTTGTGTTTGGCTGAAACCCAGCAATTTGTTAGCAAAATACACTCCCGTCATCTGTTAAAGATTTTTCCTTGGGGATCAAGTTATGGGCTGAGATTATACTTCTTTCTCCAAGTTTTGCACAATAGGAGGACTCTAATTAACACAGTTATTTCAAAATAACTCGGAGGTTTTCAGTGTTCACCACAAAGAAATGGTAAGTGCTGGAAGGGATGGATGTGTTAATCACCTGAGTCGATCATCACACAGTGTTTACAGGTATCGAAACAACACGCTGCACCCCATAAACTTGTACAATTATGTGCTGATGTAAATAAATAAGAAGAGAAAATACGCTCCTAAAAAAAAAATTCCGACTGTAACAAGTTGCAATCAAAAGGCCCAAGTTCTTGAGATAAACTTCTAAACGTAAATTTACTTCATTAAATTCTACTTTCTTCTATTTTTTTTTTGGTGGACAAATACGGCATTTTACTGGGTTTTTTCAAGTTAATAATGACTGTGTTTATTTCCCCTTCTAGAACGTGGGCACTGCAGCACTCCGTCACAGCCTCTCCTTGCAGGGAATTTCTTCACTGGCCTCACTTCCCTTTCCAATGACGCTCTCACTCCGGAGCGCCTTGCTTTCCATCGTGCTTCCTTCCAGCTGACATCCACAGAACAAATCTAGCAGGACAAGTACAGGAGCCCATGTCAGGCACAATCTGCGGCCAGCTCAGCGTGGCCAATGAGGCCCCATGTCAACACCCATCCGGTGAGGCAGGCACTGCCCTCCTGCTCACTCTGAGAGGCCTTTCTACTTACAGTGCACATAGGGCTCTCATTCCTTGCAAATTAGGTCACTGAGAAACACTAAGCCTGTCCAGAAAATCCTGGCACTACCTGGCATACTGAAAACATTAGCTATCTGCCCACCGTTTTAGTGCTTTGTGACTTTTCGAAAGGAGGGTTCAGCTGCAGAATGCAGAACTGTTTCTTTCATCTCACACTCTGCAACCACGTAATTTATGACTCAAAAACATCAATCCTAAGACTACATAATTTTAGAATCAACTATTTACACTGTTTGACTCAAAATGGAAAAAGTCCATAAGGGGCCGTACGGCACAATACTGTCAGGACAAATCTTCTAAGTTGATGGATTTGGGGGATTTCTTTTCACGGTTCTAGAACAAGGCTCTAATCGTGTGGATTCAAAAACTACAACATGCTTCAGAAGACTCTTCCCATCCTACCCTCTTTCCCCTTTTCTCTCATCTTTTTCTTCTCTCCAAAAGGTTAAAACTAAAATATCTCGCAATAATGTGCAAACCCTGACAAAGGTGAAAAGCACCGGTCATTTAAGCCTTTCTGGAGCTGACCTGTTATTAAAAGGAAGGCGCTCCATCCACACGGTGCATCGCTCCTCAAGGTGAAAAGAAGAACAGACGCACACGACGACTGAGTCAGTCTCCGACGTGCTGAGTACCCTGCCAGGCGCAACAGAGCGCAGACCGTCACCACCTCTGTGCGCAGCTCTCAGAGCCGAAGAAAGAAGTGCGGGAATGCAGCCTGGCCTGGCACGTGGCACAGAGAGAGGCGGAGGCTGAGAGAGGTAGGCACGACCTCCCGGGTGACAGAACGCTCTCCCGGAGACTGCGGCCGCGTGGCTTACACAAGTGTGCTTGTGCACACCGGTCAGACTATGTGCTTACGATCTGTGCATTTCCCTGTAAACTACACCCGAACTGGAAGGAGAACTCTGTCTCTAGGTCAGTATAATGTTTCGTGAAATAAGCCTCGGGCAGGGAGAAAGTGCACAGTGATGGAGATTTTTCTACTGTTTTCCACTCTACTGGATCTAAAAATGTTTCACAAAAAAAATACTTTTAAAGCCCAGTGCTACAGATGATGGTTTTGTCCTCTATGGGAGGAACTGTCACTTCTGCCTGATCTCAACATACCACAGCGATCGCACCCGTGGGCAGACATGTGAGTGCGGCCAGCTCGACACTCCCCTCCGAGAGGGTTGTCTGTGACTGGAGCACAGGGAAGGGTCCTCCTGGACACTTTCCTTGGTAAAATAGAAACCCCTGATGACGAAGCTTTTCCTGAACTGTAGTTCAAGGTCCAGCGGGACTCTGAAGCAGAGTGCAGACAGGAAAATGCCTGGAGACTAAGACCAACAGATCACACAGGCGGACTGGTTTATCTGCATCCCAGCAAGCCTCCCGCAGCCCACAGGAGCACACTCCCTCTTGTCTGCCTCCCTGACCCGTTTGCTTTCCCCTCCTTCTGGGGAGATGACGGCAGGTGGTGGCCCCCATGGCCCAGGCTCAGGGCTTAGCTTCCAGCCGAGCCTCCAGCACTCACCTGAGGCCAGCTATGTGCCGTGGCGCTGGCTGGTGCTGAAAATGGTCGGGCCAGGGCTGGTGCAGGCCGAAGGACGATGAGGGCTGCAGGCAGCAGGCAGCCTGGTACACGGGCGAGTGCTTTGCACACAGAGCTGCAGAGTACTCTGAGGGCGGCTGCATGCAGCACGCGGCCAGTGCAGAGGGCGCCGCAGGGCCGGCCTCGGGGTGGCCGCTGGGCGGGTGATGGTACAGGCAAGGGCGACAGTGCTGGGCGAGCATCTGCGGTGTCCTCTGGTTGTCCAGCGGCAGGAAGGACGACCTCACCCTGCCGTTTTGGTGCAGGCAGCCATTGGGACTTGCTTTGGCTTGCCCTGTGTCCGTGGGGCGGAGCTGCGGGGCGGTGGGGTCACCCTCACAGGGCGCCAGGGTGCTGGGGCTGGGCACTCCGGGGGTGATGCTGCCGTTGCTCAGAAACGCGAAGTCAGGGCTCCCAGGGCTCAGAGCCATGCTCCAGTTTCTTGACCCTAGGAGAGAGGACAACATGAAAGCACCTAGTCGCAGGCAGGCGGGAAATGCCATAAAGAGGAGCGAGGGGCGCACCAGGCCACACAGGCCCACCGTCCTCCAATGCGCGCTGCCCCAGGCCCCTCTCCTGCACTGTACCACCCAGCTGCGGGGCCACCTCGGCACGTATCAGGGACAGAAAGGGAGAGGGCACCAACACCCTGCCACCTAGTCAGCACCCCATGCCTGGGTTCTCTGACTTTGGGCCAATGGCCAGAATGAAGGGCCACCCAGAGGGCAACTGGCTGTATAAATTAAATCATGTGTGTAATCTTAAGAAAGCTTTATCTCTCACAGGGCATCACGGTGCACGCCTATAATCCCAGCACCCGGGGGGCTGAGGCAGGAGGATCACTGCAAATTCAAGGCCAGCCTGAACTACATAGTGAGACTCTGTCTCAAAAAAAGAATGTTTTATGCCTTATAAAAAACCCCAAGGACATAAGATTTTCTCTCTAAATCACTCAAGAACCACAATAAAAAAAGAACAAAGAAGAGAATAAAAACTAGTCACCTAAGAATTGTTGCAAGCAAAATATGCCACTTTTATTCTCTAAATCAATTAATATAATACAAAAAATTAATAAATATGCTCCATAAGAAGTCCACATTTATTAATTTGTTTTATATTATATACATCAGGTAACAGTGCTTGCTCACAAGGAGAATAACACCATGCATGAGATTTGATTCAGGGAGGGTACTTTTTTCCTTACATTTCCCTCCCACCAAAGGATCCAGATGTTCAATACACAGGAAACCCTTACATGCTTGAATCACTGTACCACATTTGTCTGGTAAAACAAACAAACGAGAACCTAGATGCACACCTCCCTCCCGCCGGCCACCTCCAAGCAACCCACTCACAGAAATGTCAGGATTCTTGGGAAGAAAAATGGTCATCTGGTGCTATAGGTCTATTTAACCTGCACACAAAAGCCAGCAAGAAGGAAAGTTACCTGGCTCTGCTCACCCGACCCGCAGCAGGCACTGCTGGGAGCGGCCTCGGGAGGGCCCTCTGTGTCCCCAGCTCAGGGACACAGGGAGCAGAGCAGAGATCCCCTCTTCCCAGTCCGAGCACCTAGTGAGGACCCCGCTCGGCTCACCAGTGCCTCAACTGTGCAGCAGGACACCCGCGGCAGAGCGCAGGGGAGACAGCGTGAGCGCCACGTCCTCACCGGACCCCAGCGACGCGTCTGCTCAGGCACAGGGTGAGCGTTCCTTACTCACCTCAGACAAAACTCCTCGGACAAACATAGGCTAAACAAACCCCAGACACCGAGAAGTGGAAAAGTGAATGTACACATTTACAAATTTCTTCACAGGCTGGAGACAGCAGCGTATGCCCACAGTCCCAACCACTTGGGAGGCTGAGGTAGGAGGAGGGTCTCTTGAGCCCATGGGTTTGAGACTGGTCTAGGCAACAGAGACCTCTGTCTCAAAAACAAAAGAAAAAAAATTTCCTCCTTTATAAGTTGTTGATTAGAAAGGCAAAATATTTTAAAAATCTCAAAATACACATGAAGTCAAGTAGACGTTACCAGTCTCGTGGGTCCTGCCGTCACTCTGAACGTGGCTCACCAGCCCCAAGCCTCCTTCCACGACCATGGAGAAGAGCTGTGAGTTGCGGCACACAGCATCCTTTTCTTGTAAGTTCCCCGGGGTGCAGGATGCCCCAGTACACCCCACAAGAGCCCAGGGGAAGCCAGGCTTCAGACAAGAGTAGAGCCCAAGTCCCCCAGGCCAGTGGCGGCAAACCTTCGGCATGCCACGGGCTAAGAACCACTCACTGAAAGCTCTAAAAGGTTCGCCACCCCTGCCCCGGACGCCGAGATTTTCTCTCGTTTCTCCCTCCTAATTAAATACGCTAACCCTTAGGGAAAGCAATGCTTCTCTTTCTTTGTGACCAGACTCACTGCCGTGACAGTTTATTCCTGTGAAACGCATCACTTTGCAGTCCCATGAGTCAAACAGACCCCTGTGGGCAGCTGAGTGACTTAACCACCATTTATAACATTTTCTTTCCACTCTTGGTAAAACGGAGCTGAACTGCCAAATCACTGACTTACAGATGCATTTCTGGAACACAACCTGCTTTGTAACTTGGAGACTTTGTGTAATGAAGAAGGAACTAATGGGAGGTGAAGAATAACGTGCACTCCGACTTTGGCTTGCACTGGAAACAAGCCACGTGAGCTTTCTCTGATTCAGTTTCTTTAATCATAAAACGAAAGGAATCTATTTGACTTCACAAGCAGGTAAGAAATAAGTAAAAAAAATAGAAAGTAAGCAGAGCATGATGGCACATACCTGTAATCTCAGCACTGTGGGAGGCTGAGGCAGAAGGATCACAAATTTAAGCTCAGGGGCTGGGGATTTAGCTCAGCGGCAAAAGCGCCTGCCTGGCAAGCGCAAGGTCATGAGTTCGGTTCCCGTACCGGAGAAAAACCAAAAAAAAAAAAAAAAAAAAAAACAAATTTAAGCTCAGCAAGACCCTGTCCCAAAAACAAAAAAAGAAAGAGGGAGACAGAGAGACAGAGAGAGAGAGAAAGGAAGGAAGAGGGACAGGAGGAGGGGAAAGGAGGAGGGAAAGGAGGAAGAAGGGGGGATAGAGAAGGACAGGCAGGCAGGCAGGGAGGGAGGGGTATGTAGCTTAGTGTGAAGGCTTTGAGCTCAATCCCTGGTACCACAAAAAAATTAAATTAAGTTGAATTTAAAAAGCAAAACCAGAAACAGCTAAGAAATGTTTGCTTCTTATACCGTGTTTAGTGGATGCATCTGTGTAGGGTCCAGGTGACCAGGGGAATAGCAAAGTTCCAGTCTTAAGTTGAGCTGACCCGAAGACCTACACAGAGACAGATATGTTTTCTTTAGAACTGAGACAAATGAGAGGAAAAAATCCAGTCTGAGCCAAGGGTGGAAGGAACTCACAGAAAAGCAGACAAGACAAAGAATAAACACAGTAAAAAGAAATGAAATAAGGCGTTCCTGAGTCTTAATACCCTTTGCTTGGGCCAAACTCCTGTGATAAATGTACATGGAATGGAATGTGTTTAAATGCAATGATAATAGTATTTATACTAAAAGTTTAAAATAAGTTTGGGGTCAAATATAATGAGTAACTTTTCGAGACAGCCCCTTCCTCGCTGGCGCTACCTCCCTGCGCTGACTCCCGGCCGTCACGAACTGAGCAGCTCCGCTCCGCCACACCCTTCTGCCACGATGCTGCCGCCTTGGAGCAGCCAGTCGACCATGGACTGGATCCCCTGCAACATGAGCCAAGTAAACCTCTCCTTTAAGTTATGGGTGTCAGGTTTAGTGTCCCAGGGGCAGGAAAGCTAATACCGTACAAGAGTCTTCGGCCATGAACCATCTTTTCATTACATTTCAATTGCATGATGAGGATACAAAAAGATATGGAATAATGTCTCCTAGTTTTAAAGTCCAAATTATGCTTTAAAATGGCAATGGAGATACAGTATCTGTGGCTGAGAGACAACAGCCCAGGTAGGTGTGAGTTTGAAAGTTGACTCTGCTAGTCAGTAACTCTGAGAACCTTGGTCAAGTTATTTGAACTCTCACCGCCTCTCAAGTCATGGTTTCTCCTCAGAATTAAGTCTGTTTTAAATGCAAATCTTCTAAAAGCAACAGAGCTACTCGGCAAAATTTGAAATAACTTTATCCTTTCATTCAGTTCTACCAGGATTTATCCCTTGGACATATTTGAATGTGTAAAGATATACGCAGGCAATTAGATTTTGACCATAGCACGGCAAGAATAAAAATCCAACACAATTTAGATTACCCTCACTGGGGGACTTCAATCCTGTCATACTCAAACCTGGGTATTTTGCACATACACACGCTTACACACTAGTCCTAGATGCAACGCACTATAAGAAGTGCAAAGAACGTCATTATGTGCAAATAAAACTTCACTGCTTTACAACTTAGTATGTATCCATGTGGTTAAAAAGAGGCGTGTGTGTATCTTGTGTGTGCCTGTGTGTGTGGGAACAGTCATCAGAGTTCTTATGGTTAAAATTACATCCTACTCTTATTTAGAACTCTGGAAAACTACATACATAAAATATACAGAATCATCATGCCTCAAAGACAAAAAGTAGCATGTCATTGAAAACTGTTATCATATAATCATCAGATCTGTATGAATTATGGAAATTGTACTCATCAACACAGTATGTATCCAACTATTAATAACACACAATGCACCCAAAGGATGCTATCAAACGATTTCAAGCACAAGTACATCTAAAGAGCATTAAGTAAATCTCAAAGCCGCTACTTGGAACTGGAAACAGAACCTCTAGCCTGGCCAGAAAAGTGCCAAGTTAGACCTAAATGTAAAGTTGAAGAGAATACACAGACCTGTTCCAGTGATTACAGTAACCACTTAATGAAGCCATCACTCTCCTCAACAAACACAGGCCCAATAGAGCCTGAGGGAATGACGTCTTCATCCCATCAGTACGGCTCAGAGCACACCCCTTTGGTGTTTCCAAAGCATTTTCACATGCATGATCTCACTCGAGTTGATCTCTAACAGCCCTCAGAAAAAGCAGATGTGGTAGGCTTTACCACGCCCTGCTGCAACTAAAAGCCTGATACACAGTCTAAGTGAAGGACTCCCCTCAACACCAGGGTTGAGAACTCTGCTGATACACTTTCCGTGAGCTCAGATGATGTCCTTCAGAGGAAGTTTGCTTTGCCAGTCACAACACTAAACCTAGGAGTAAGTAGTGAGGCTCCGCACTGTGGATCAACACTGCTTCCGGACGTAATATTCTGGGGAGCCCGACTTGGCTAGATAAAAGACACAGACCTTCCACACACGGAGCTGCCAGACTCCGACGCGTCCCCCTGCAGGGAAGCAAGCTGCCCTTGCCGGCAGCACACTCCTCTCCTTGCAGCCAGGGGAGCTGCAGACAGGGAGGCTACA